AGAGAGAGAGAGAGAGAGAGAGAGAGAGAGAGAGAGAGAGAGAGAGAGAGAATTTTGCTGACATGTCTGCTGCGAAAGTTCAACCAACCTAACCATTATTCAACTAGTCACTTATAAAGGGACCAAGTGAATAGTACGCTTAGGAGCTGTTTCAGTCTCAACTGTAGACCATTCACCCAAGTACGGTATCATGTCTCTTCCCTTGTGTAAGTATCATGTCTTTTCCCTTGTGCAAGTATCATATCCTTCCTTCTAAGTAAGTATCAAGTCTTTTCTCCCTGTCTAATGTAGTATCGTGTCTCTTTCCCCTGTGTAGATCGCAGACTTTGGAGTGAGCAATGAGTTCAGTGGTGGTGATGCCTTCCTCACCAACACTGCAGGCACCCCTGCTTTTATGGCGCCTGAAACGCTGAGAGGTGAGTACATGTAGTACTGTCTGTTTGTTAGTATCAGAAGTCTGTGGCAGGTGGTTGGTGGGTGCTCTGGTGTAGTTTGCTCCTTGTTTCCGATCAGACTTCTTTTGTCCTTAATTTCTCGTCCGTGTTTTTTGTGTTTGTTATTCTCTTGTAACGTAACACCTCTAATCTTGGCGCGTATATGACCTAATTGTGTTGCATGTGTCGTAAAACATTTACTAAAACATGAAATAAGTAGAAAAATTGGCTCAGTTGATTTCTCTTTAATTATCAAAACTGTTGTGTTAACTTTTAGTTGATGTGCCTTTCATCATTTTTAGAAAGTTATGTAATGTTTAAAAGACACGACCCCGTAAAATAATTGTACATTTGTTTCTCTTTTCCAGATGACCATCAAAACTTCCAGGGCAAAGTAAGTTTCTTAGTTCTTTCATCAGATTTTTCTAATTCCCTTCTTTCTGCCCTCAAGTTTTACTGGCCAACAAAATCTCAAATTGCTGTTTGGAAGCAAAAAAATGTAAATACGCAATTAAGATTATAACTATAGAGTCATTAGTTGTGTGTGTAACCTGTAGATACGAAGTAAAAGGACAAACGTGCAGAGATATAAACCAAGCCATAGTATGAACTGATCTGACAATAACCAACTTGTGACCCGCATGTTTTTATAATCTTATGCAGTTGCGAGCGCCAAACAACTGTTACCAAACTGAAAATTAAATAATCTTATGCAGTTGCAATCACAGTAAAACTTTAACCAAATCGAGAAAGAGATATATCAGTGTGAACCTTAACCTGTGCCACTGACTTTTATAAGGAGGTTATAGATACCTTGCATTTATTGTTTTAGAAGCGAGAACTTTCAGGTATTCCAAAAGCATCACTAGACGCAACTGCTGTTGTCATGATCTTCTTGAGTACTTTGAGCTGAAACCACAAGGGCATAAGTTTTATTTTAAGACTTCTTGTCTTTTTGGGAAAAAATGTTGTTTTTTTTCATTTAAATAAAATTAATGAAGAGAACTCATTATTCTTTGACTTCTTGAATGAAGTTTGGCTTTTATTGTCATGTATTTACTCTCAAAACATACAACATGGCACTTTGAAATTAATTTTAACACTACCGCATTTCTAGGTAGCTTTGATCAGTTTTAATACTTTGGCATCATTAGTCATTTCTGTCGCAATATGACCTATTTGATTTAGATATAGCTTTATTCAGTGACCAACGCCTCTGAAAAGATTTTTAAAGCATTTTTCTATTCTGTTTACTTTCAAACAATCTCCTTCTGGATTTAGACGGATCATTATGTTATCGGTCGGTCTGGATAAAAATCATGGCCTTTCCTCTAAACATATTATATTTCGCTGTCGTTTCCCCCTCCCCCTCCCCTTCCCCCCTCCTCCATCCCTGTCTCCATCCCTGTGTGTGACCTTAACCACGTCATGTTTTTCAGGCTCTGGACATCTGGGCAATGGGAGTGACTCTGTACTGCTTTGCCTATGGGAAAGTGCCTTTTGAAGAGGAGTATGTCTTGGGCCTGCATAAAAAGATTCTCAAGGATGAGGTTCGGTTCCCAGACAGGTCTGTATCTTTTATCATAATTTTAGAATATTTTTACATCCCTTTCAACTCAGTATAACTTTGGAGTCACAAGCAATCCACTTAAGTCAGTTTGATTACTTTTTCCATTGGAGACAAAAAAAAGAAAGATTATGTTCCTCTAACAGGAATTGAACATATGTGCCCTTACTTCTTTTTTTTAACTTAATGAGTAATTTTGGTATCATTTGGTCATGTTTGGTATTGGTTTGAAACCGGTTTCAACCCTGTTAGTTTATGGATCCTCTGATATGACGTCACCAGCACCATTCCACAATCTCAAAAATCAGTTTCTCAGGGTTTCCAGAAAATGTTGTTATTCATGTAAAGTGAAGAAGGGGCATCTTACAATATTCTTTATTTTTGTGTTGTTTAAATTTCCTTCCTAGTTATTAACTAAAAAGTCACAACTTGCCAAGTCATATAGTTTTGATCAGACGATCTTTTTTTTCTTTAAGTTCTCAAAATTTTAAAAAATGAATTAGTGGTAGGCAGTGGTGGAATGACGCTAACTAAATATGTGTCACGACGCAGTGGAATCAGGTGCTCATCAATTTTTGGGCATGTGGAGTTATTGGTATCATATAAAAGCTTAGGCCTGTTAATTTGCCTTGTTTTCAATGAAAAAAATACCCATCGATCTTGAATAGAGGTTAAGATATTTGCAACTGAAGGGACCGGGGTACTCATGGAAATATATTATTATATGGGCACAAAACGTGTTGAGCCAAAAATCAAAATTTCGATAAAAATTGCCAAATTGGAGGAAAAAAATGCCTGTTTCTTCGTTTTTGATATTTTGATGAGCATCTGATTTCACCACGATGCCCCACATATGGATGGATAGAGCAAAGTGGGTGTTGAATAATTACTGTTTCCCTACAAAAGTTCATGAATGTCTCATTAAGGGATTCTGTTCTTCATATCGATAAATAGAAGATTGGGATTTCTCATTATACTTTTTCTGATTTATCTTTACAGGCTTATGTTGTGTACCTGAAGCTGACTATATTGCTATAGTAGTTCGTTGGGACATTTGTGAAATCTCTTTTCTTCAATGTTTTAGTGTAAATAATATCTACTCTTTTCCATGTTTTCAGCCCGGAGGTAAGCAAGGAACTAAAAGATATTATTCTTCGGATGTTGGACAAAAATCCAAGCACCAGAATAACTCTTTCCCAGCTGAAGGTAATAATAAAAATAAAATTGGACATTTATTGTATCGCTTAAAATTAACTCTGATTAAAATACACATATAGGCTCTTGTTCTGAAGAGCAGCCTGCAGTTGCCATGAAACTTTCAGACTTCTGTTTGCAAAATATTGTTAATTGATGGTAAATGTTCTTTGCCTCTCTAAGTACACTAATATCTATATTATCAACCATTTAGAAGGTCGATCCTTTTCAGTTTGCCTCTCTGGAGCAACCTGGGCTGAGTGGAATACATATATTTTTATCAATGGACAAAGATACTAGATAAAGTGATTTTCACTTGAGGGAATAGAATTCGATACTTTCTGTGCACTACAGCAAGATCATAACCTTTACACCACAGACACTAGTAGGCCTACACAAAGTATGGTTTGGCATTATAATGACATTGGGTAAGATACCACTTTTTTCCTCGACTGTGGGTGGCCATCTTATATAGCATTGATCGTATATTCATTTTAATAAGATATACATACAGCTGCTGCCTAATCCATTAAGAGCTTAATTTACCTCTTAGTATAGCCTTTTTAAGACCTATCAGATGGTACCTCTGTTCCAACCAACATTATCATTATGCCAAGCACACCATGGCAGCATCCAGTACTGTTTGCAATAAGTTCATTACTATAAGATGAATATTCTAAGGTGTGATTCACAAGAGGTAGGGTACCGTGCAAAGATTTTCACTACTACAGCAACAAATGATTGAAGAACCACAAACTCAGACAAATATCAGTCCTTATATTCCCATGCACAGGTGAGTGTCATCCATCTAAAAAGGGGAAAAAGAAAAAAGAATTAAAATCAAGAAAAAGTGAACACATGCACACTCGTCCCAAAAGCACATGGTGTTACCTCCAACATTTAACCTCCTCAGGATGACCCTTGGGTCACTTGCAGCAGTCAGTTCCCCCTGCCCAGTGAGGAGGCCAACTGTGAGCTGGTGACCATTACGGAGGAGGATGTGGAGAATGTGGTCAAGCATGTTCCCAAGATAGAAACTCTGGTAGGTTACTGACAAGTTATATATTAATATCTTAGTATATTTGCTACTGACTATCCTACTGCTGAATGTAAAGTGAATTCCCAAGATAGAAACACTTGTAGGTAGCCTGAAAATTATATTATATTAATATCTTAGTATCTTCTAAACTGACTTCCCTACTGCTGGACATGGTCAAGCAAGTTCCCAAAGAAATGCTGGTAGATGACTGACAAATGATATAGACTGCTCAGTGTAAGACTCTCTCATACATCACTTTTTAAAGGAGTATAATAGTAAGCAGTGGGTGTATTAATTAATATCTTAACATCTTAGCTACCAGCTATACGATTGCTGAGTGACCAGCCAGGACTATGGTTGTTATCCCTGTTTGTAGGGAACAGAGTACTTGGTAGGCCTACCCATCATTAAAGTTGCAACAATTTTAGTTTTAACAAACGTTTTCATAGCTAAGTGTAAGACTCCGCCTTACACCATTTTTAGAAATGACATATGATGGAGTCTTACATTGAGCAGTTGTTTTTTATTTTCTTAATGAGCTGATATGTTTTTACTTCTTTAGTTAAAGTTTGGAGAACGTGGACTAGATTTACAATTGGGGAGTTTATTGTGTTTTCATGTGACTTTTAGCTTTAAATTCAATCCACTAGGTGTGGTATTTCATCTTTAATAGATAGCATGTTTTCAAAGTTCTGAATAATCTAGCTAGCTACTTAATTTGATTTTTCCTTTCTTCATGTTAGTTCAAGTTTGGAAATGAAGAATAAAATTATGATTTTTGAAATATATTTAACTATTTTAGATTTAAACTACTCTATGTGATATTTTATTTCAACAATAAGGGTATGTTAAAGGTTTTTTAGTAATTTAAAACGAAATGCTTGTCTTTTTTGTACTAGGAAAAAATCTTTTACAATTTTTTGCTCTGTTTCAGATTATGGTAAAGAAAATCCTCAAGCAGAAATCATTCCGTAACCCGTTCATTGCTGCCAAACTAAGTGCCAGTGTCAAAGAAGAATTCCAGAAAACTGGGCGCTCCAACTCAGCGCCGGAGTCTTTCAGTCACATCATGAGGAGGTGAGGTCTCGTTTTTTGTTTGTTACCTCACGTTTTTGAGCCCCATCTTCCATCACCTACAAATATTTTACTTTCTCATCTTTTTGTCTGTCTGTATTCCCAGCTGTAATTGTTGCCTAGTGTTATTGTGATGTCACGCCTGTTTTTACCCCAGCTAAGAAAAACTAAAAATTCATCAGTGCCTTTTGTGTGTAATGGTTTCACACTTTGCAGTAGAGGGAAATAATGCAAATTTGAGTTCTTCATGGTAGTAACTATAACAGACCTCCTCCATCTACCCCGATCTCAACCTCCATCTACCACGAACTCAATGACATTTCATGAGGTTTTTGACAATGAAGTACCACCAATAGTAAATAAATGCTGATCTAATTAAATAACTTTAGGTTTTGTGGCTAGACAGACCTAAAAAGGTGGGTGGTTGGCGGGTGCTCTGGTGTGGTTTGCTTCTTCTTTCCTATCAAACGTCTATCGTCCTTATCTCCCCTGCTTCTTTTTTGTGTTTGTTACTCTCTTGTAACACCTCTAATCTTCGGCACTTATATGACCTTATTGTGTTGCAAGTGCCGTAAAACTCTTACTAAAACTAAACTAAAGACCTAAAAAGCAGAGGCTACTACTACGCTGGGATGAAAGGATCCTTCACTCTTAGAAACAACTTTTGTTTGACTTTGTCTTTGGTGATATAATGACCTTCACCTCCATTTTGAACCAATCTCTTTATTGAATGGTCAAGCTCTTTGTTATTGCACACACAAGTTGTTATTTAGCTTATTATACTGAATGGGGAAGTTGTCATATTGAATGTTTCCTCCTGTCTACCTAACTGATGTATTCCATTCGGCTGGAATTGGCTCTGGCTGGCAGGGTATAAGTAGCCCATCCCCTTTATAACCTAAATTGTGTTAACTGAGATGTAATTAGCAAGCAGTTAATGAAATCAGGCTCAAAATAAATGTCAAGCATGCATCAATGAGACAGCGTTTTGATGGGTGGTTACTGCGGTGTGTCCTTGAGCAAGACATATCAACCCTAGTTAAAAAAATAGGATGCTGCACAGTGGTGACCAATATTGGTGTGTTTGTTGTAAATCTGTTTCAGTATGTATTTATCTATGTATTTATGTAGGCTACTCTATTTTTAGGCCTATGTATAATATGTTATGCAATTGCAAACAAAATTTTTCTCATGCTGATCTAAAAAGTAGAATTTGATTCATTTATTTTCTATTTATCATTAACTAAAACATTTATTATCTAATGCTTAGTAATGTTGAGGAATTGTAATACATGACTTCATAATATTGTCAGGTAGATGTGACGAAGAACTTCTCATTCACTGTTTAACTGAGTCTGATGATCTGTTCTTTGCAGGAAAGTTTCCTCCGATGCCAACATCGACGTTCCACTGATGGAAGACAGTTGATGATGTGGTGGTCAGCTAGCTTCATAAGTAATCGCTGAGCTCACAAACTGGTACCGTTATCAAGAGCCATGACATGACAATGCTGTTGCTGTGTGACACAAATCTTCATGGTCGCTGTTTTATTCCATAATGATTGGTGATTAAAAGCTCATATCAGGGAGGCCTTATGGAAGGATTGTACGAGAATGTGACTGATATATGAAGCACCACATGTGAATGGAATCCACCCACTGATTCATTCAGTATGCCTTCTGTGGGGTATTTGAGTGAAACTGAGAACTGTTTATTTTCCACTACCAGTACCCAGCACTTTATGACGTCAGAACTGCCCATTATATCTGATCACAAACACTGAGAAAATTCTCCAGGAAATAACTCACTGAGGCTGACAGATTCCACAACAGTGCCCATGGCACTGACTGGCAATGTTTTCTATTTCTTGTTGGAAAGGATCAGAAGGCTTTCATTCATGGATATACTACAACTTTTGACCCAAGCCCAAACTATTAATCTGGCAGAGTTCTAGTATGCTGCAAGACCTTAAAACGATGGGAGTTTATCTCCCTTAAGATTTTAGTGACACCGGAACTCTGTTCTTCTGTGGCCTCCAGGATATCATATCAGATCTCCAGCCAGTTTACAGCTGACCTCTATTAAGCTCTACTTTGTGAAATGGAAAGTTACTTACCCCTTCATGGCCTATATGACGTACGCCATTCATCATTTTTTCTTACCCAGGGAAGGAGCCAAGATGCTGCTGTGACGTGCGGCATTCGTCATGCCTTGTGAAGTATGTGAGGACCATGATGACGAATGCCACTCTTCATAGGCTGTATTCTGAGTACTGTTTCTAATAGATGCATTTAGTAAAACTAATAGCAGATAGAATTTTTTTTTCCATACAAAGAATACATTTTTCCGTTTTAAAGACAGTTAAAAGTATTTAAAAACTGGGTCTAATTGTAGACACAACTGACCACTAAGTCTAGAGCTACTCTTTGTCCTTGGGGATCCAAAACTGTGCACAGTGAAGCACGAACAAGCCCAGTGTCATGAAGGGGTTATGGAATTAATTACTATTTACATCCTATAAAGAAATCTGGGCAAAGTAGAGTATTATGGGGAAAAGATCTGATATAAGAACATTCTTTTAAATTTGTTTTCTTTTATTCTGAGAGATGTATTTTTCTCTGCAACTGCGATTCTGCAAGTATAAATAGAGATTCCATTTATTAGTATTTGTGTCGCAATGTGGTGGAATCAGGCGCTTGTTAATTTGTGGTATCATTATTGGTATCATTTTAAAACCTGTTCATCTGACTTCCTTTTGGTGAAAAGATATCCATTTTTCTTGAAAAAAAGTAGAAATAATTATGATTGAAGAATTTGCAAGAAAATGGCCGCCAAAGTTTGATAACTTCCACATCCTGAGATTCCTTGGAAACTGAAAATTTACATTTTTTGTGCCTTTAAGCAATGATTTTCCTGTAAAATCCAAGCAAAAATGTGTTTTTAAATGGACTTTATAGATTATTGGGCCAAAGACAGAAAATTTGAAAAAAATTGCCCATCGGCCCCCAAAAATGCCAATTTTTAAACTTTAATTATTTTGATGAGTGCCTGATTTCACCACAATGCCTCACATTTAGCTTTTGCACATTATTGCAAAAGGTTGAAAAAAACCAGAGCTTTGACAAATAAACACACTTTCATCATTCTGATGCTGGATTTGTTTGATTCTTTAGATGAACCAACACCTGAAAGTAAAAGAAGGTCTGTTCGGCTTTCTGGATTTTAAAAAAAAAGATAAAAATTAGACAATTTTGGGAGAAACATGTTTTAGTTCGCAAAAATACTGTTAACATTTACCACCTATGAGGGGGAATTATGAGAAATACTTTGACAGCATTTGTTTCTTTTGCAGGATACTCTAAAGCCTTAAGTATTTGGTGATCCTGGACTTAAAATGATCCCACACTACAAGTATTGCATCATTATTTTCTTTATTACTGTTTTTATCCCCTTTGTTATAGTTTAATAATTATTATGATGGTTACTAGTGATGATAATCATAATAATACATTTAGAATTAGGCCTACCTGTTTTATTTTTAAAAATATTATTGGATTACGAACATAACTCTTATTATGGTTTTTATAGGCTATTACTTAATGATAATAGTAATTATTATCCTTATTATTATTATTATAATTATTATTATTATTATCATTATTATTGTTATCATTGTTATTATTAATGTTATTATCATTGTTATTATTATCATTGTTATTGCTACTGTTCCTATTATTGATGATATATGCGCACTTGTAAAAAGTCTAAGACATGGGGCTGATACCCTCGGATAAGGATGGATTTTTTCTTCAGAGTCCAGCCATCTGCGAGATCTAATGTGGCCTTCTGTGTTGTGTTGCACAGTGTTGTTTTTGCACCAATCCATATCATGGTCATTTGTACAGTTAGAAGAAAACGTGTCACTAGTGACATAAGAGAGAAAAATCACACGCAAACGTCCATTTCTTGATGGATTTTTATGTGCATACAAACAGCTTTGTCTATTTCAATTTAAATTGTATATTGAAAACTAGTCTTTTAAAAGTTTCAAATTAACTACCCAATCTTAGATTTTTTTTAAAATGTTTTCCTTCACATTTTTTTTTTCACGGATGTTTTTAACTGATAAGCGTAGAGACCCCACAATGTTTGAATATTAGAGAACCAGTAATTTACGCTGTAATGAATAGGATCTTAACCATGCATGGGATAGGTACGAATTCTGTTTCCCACACTGAGAAGATATATTTAACCAGGTATATTATCCATTTTTTTGTTGGGATGTTGCACTCCACACTCACAGCCTGGGGTTCTGTATGTTGGCAAAGTGGAATCAGCCTGTGTCCTGTCTATGGGTTAGATTATGTTAGGAGAGGCATATATAATATTAACAGTTGTGAGGCATCGTGGTAAAATCAAGTGCTCGTCAAAATAATTAAATCCAAGAAAATGGCATTTTTCCTGCAGTTTGGCAATTTTAACCAAAATTTTGGGTTTTGGTCCAATACCTTTTATGTCCATATATAAGCACATTTCATGTGAATTTTACTGAAAGACATTGATCAGTGGTAAAAAATATGTCAGTTTTTAGTTTTCAAGGACTCTCAAATATTATTGAACTTACCAAACTTTGGCTGCCATTTTCTCACCAATTTTATCACTGAAACCAGGCTACCCCCACCTCCTTCAATCGCAAATATCGCGACTTCTTTTCAAGATACAAAGGTTGTATCTTTTTGCATAGAAAACAAGGAAAATGAATAGGCTTTCAGATGATACCAATAACTCCACATGACACGAAAATTGACGAGCACCTGATTCCACCGCGTCATGACACAATGATTTTGTAGGTAACAGTAAAACAAAGATGAAAAGATTCTAGTGTTCTGACTTAGATAGCCTTTAACCTGAGCTGTTCCGAAAGACATGTCTGTTTGTGCACATGAAGCCATCAATGTATTTTTACACCACAAGGCACCTTCTCTCGTGTGATTCCCTCCCCTTATGCAAAAAAACCATCTATTCCCTTTGAGTACGTTGACTCCTCCTATGCATAAATGTAAAAAGATCATGTGTGGATTCCTCATCTGCAATTTGTGCGTTCATTTTCTTATTCATTTTTTGAGTTAATTATTTGTGCTATCCTGAGATTCATATAATTTATGTCTGTCTTTGCTTCATTTGATTCACTCTGATGTAAAGAATTGTTAATTTTTTTTTTTTAGCTACTTGAGTTTGCTTTATTGCTTTGAAAAATAGAAAATGAATTGTCCTTACTTCATGTAAATTCAAAGGGGCTACCCAGAATTATATTTGTGAAATTGTCAGGCTTTTCTCCCTTGCACTTGGAAGAAGTGAGTTTGATTCTCATACGAGAAATTTTCAGTTCTTTTGTCAAGTATCTCCGTCTTGTCTTTTGGAATCCCTCTCAGCCTGGCCAGGTTGACCTTTGACCGGCAAACTTGGAGCAGCCCGCCTCCTAAACTGTGTCAATAGGGATGTAGACTTTTTTTATTTTTTAAAACAAACGTAAATGCTTTTACTCCCCATTGACACAGTTTAGATCATTTATGCAGTGGGCTTTGACCTGCCTGTTGTTAGGGCTAACCTGGGCTGATAGAGAAACAACATTATGGCTGAAAGACCTTATAGATACTCAATACAAATTCTCCCCGCGAGAGAACCAAACTTGTGCCTCCAGTGTGCAATGGTGAAGTGCCTAACTGCTTCACCACTCACGCTAGTGTCGAGCCTCTGTCCAGTAGCAACAACAAAAATGTTGGTATTTCTTTAGGTTTAGATTGTTTGGAACCCCTTTGTTCCATTCCGGAACTTTCTTATCCCAAATTTAGAGACTCGGAACCCCCTTTGTTCCATTCCGGACCTTTCTTATCCCAAATTTAGAGACTCGGAACCCCCTTTGTTCCATTCCGGAACTTTCTTATCCCAAATTTAGAGACTCGGAACCCCCTTTGTTCAATTCCGGAACTTTCTTATCCCAAATTTAGAGACTCGGAACCCCCTTTGTTCCATTCCGGACCTTTCTTATCCCAAATTTAGAGACTCGGAACCCCCTTTGTTCCATTCCGGACCTTTCTTATCCCAAATTTAGAGACTCGGAGAAGTACTGCTGCTGTATGTGAAGTATCATAGTGAAATCAGGCGCTATTTAAAATAATGAAATCAAAGCAATTGACATTTTTCTGGCTATTTGGCAATTTTTAATTTAAACGTATTTTTATTTTTAGTTCAACACCGTTTATGTCCATTTAAAAACACAAATATGTGTGGATTTTACTGAAAAACGTTGCTAAAAAAAGGCACACTTAATGTAAATTTCCAGTTTCCAAGTACACTCAAACTCTGAAAGTCATCAAACTTTGGTAGTTATTTTCTCGCTAATTTTACCTCTGACAACGCGCGGCCCCCACCTTCTTCAAATGCAAATACCTCAACTTCTAATCTAGATAAATGGGCATTTTTTTTCCATCAAATGCAAGACAAGTGAACAAGCTTTAAGATGATATTTATAACTCAATGTGTCAAAAAATTGGCGAGGGTCTGATTTCACTGCGTTGTGATACATTTAGAGATTTGGAGAAGTACTGTATCGTCAGCCAGCTGTATAAAGCCCAATACTTCAAAATATTTGTCATTGCTGTTTCATAATCTGTGGTATCGGTTGTAAGTGCTTGAGAAATAATGTGCTTAAATTCAGTTTCTAAATGATGAAGAAAGTCAGAAAAGTCACATAATGTAAGCACAATTTCTGAAAGAAGAAACAATTTTTCTTCTTTCCTGAAAAAATTTTGCTTTATGAGCTTAGAGCAGTAAACAGCTTGATGACTTTAATTTTTTTTTAACCTTAGTTGCTCTTCTTTCTAACCCTCTGTCTCTGATGTCTGTCTATCTCTGAATCTTCCTACCTGTCTGTCTATTCATTTCTGTATTACCAGTTTATTTCTATTTGTACAAACTTTATGGTCTCTTTATTCCCACTTTCTTTCATGGATCTGAACAAACATGCTCTTACTGATATAATTTACTTTTGAAATAAAAACTGATGCCGTTGCTATTCACATATACATGTGTAACTTTCATGTGACCTTATCTAAACTTTTAAATCCATTATCCCTTCCAGTGGTTTGGAAATCTTTATTTGTCAACACTGCAGCATTTAATGTTTCATAAAAGAAATCAAAAGGAACTTGTTTTTCGAATCTAGCAGCATGGCTATTGCTTGTTACTCTTCTGCCTTGGGTTGGCCAACTATGCTTGGATGGGTGGAGGTCGCTGCAAAATATAATGGAAGGGAATGACTGTTATGGTGTTACTATGTTTGTCTGTGATTTATAATCAAGCAGACGGTTGACTTGATTATTTGTGTCTCTTTAAAGATCATCACAATTTTAGGTTCTGCTTCTTTTCTCATTCTATGTTGTTTTATTTGATTGTCTTGCTTTTTTCCCAGTACTAAACGATGGTCATTGTGTGTTGATATGCTACTTTATACTCAAACTGACCTTTCGGCATTTTACCCATGTTCACTGCTCAAATTCTATTTTTGTTTGTTTGTTTTGTTTGTACGAAAGAAAAAAGTGTCTTTGGTGTTAATCAATCTGTTTCAAGATAGCATTGGGAAAAATAGCATCGAAAACAGATGGCATTGATTGGGCTCAGAGTAAGGTATACTGGGGTAAATTTTTGTACGCAAAAGATTGAAATAGGTCTCATTTTTGTTCTGTGTTTATTATAGAAAGTGATCAAGTCCAGGAAGATTTAATTTATTTCACAAGAGACAGAAAAGCATCAAACTAATTGTGAGACAGCGTGAGTCACGTGCTCGTCAAACAATGAAATCAAAGGAACTTGCTTCTTTCTGGCCGTCGGGTATTGTTTTTCTTTTGTCTTTACTTTTACCCCTCTTATATATCCGAATAAAAACACATTTCTATTGGGATTTTCCTGATAATGTTGCTCAACGACAGATACAGTTTCCAATGACACTCAAGCTTTGGAAGTCACCAAACTTTAGCGGCCTTTTCCTCGCTAATTTTATCTCTGACACCAGGTGACCCCTTCCTCCTTTAATCGCAAATATTTCAACTTTTATTCAAAGTAGGTAGGCCTATGTATTGATTTTGCCGAATACAACACAAAATGGTAAACTTTAAGATGATACAAATAACTCGATATGTCCAAGTAATTGATTAGCGCCTGATTCTACTGCATTGTGACACA